AAAGTCCCGGACCCCCTTTCCTATTGGATTCAAAAAGGCACAGGAGCCAGATCATTTACATGAAGTTCAAATATGGGAACTGTGTGTATACTATGTTATCTTTTCTGTACAAAAGGAAGGGGTAAATTATTATATATGTATATATCTGTGTATGTGTTTCTATTATATATGAGGGCATATAATATCTATGGAAGGTTATACAATAAATTAATAAAATTAGAGGCCTTCAGATGTCTGGGGACTAGGAATAGAAGGGAAATGTTGTCCTTGAAAAATTTTGAGTGTGTTAATTAGTCAAAAATAAATTTTAAAATATATACTAAATTGTGAAAAATAAGTATATACATTCTTATAATCAGGTATCTTTTGGCCAAATCATGGAGTTCCAAATGCAGAAATATATAACTGAGTCTCCCCAAATTTAAAAAATAAGTGTGTAAATTATTTTGCTATTTTAAATATTGGTAACATTGCAGCTTAGAATAGAGTAGTATTCTGGCTCTCTACTCTGCTTGTGTCCGGCAATTCCAAATTTTAGATTCTATACCTTGTAATTTCTCAACTATAAGGCTTGTCCCTATATCAGAGGATGCTTAAATCTCAGGCACGCTGTTTTGTAAAAATTATTTGACCACATAGAACTCAATTACCAGGATATCAGATATGTACTTAGAACTCAAATGTTTTTCTCTCCATTTCTTGGATCGGCTCTGCGTTGCATTTCTTCCTAGGAATGGTCCATGTACTTGGTTGGTTACATCTGGTAAATCAGATAAAAACATATTCTTTAACCTTAGCGATGTTAGCTGCATGAGATCTCTTCCTCAAAATTCCAACCCAGTTCTCATATTTGAACTTCATGTAAATGACCTGGCCCCTGTGCCTTTTCATGTACAATAGGAAAGGGGGTCCGGGACTTTGCTGCATGCTCACACCTATTCAAGGACGTTGGGTCAGCACCAGTCAACACAAATGGACTGAGAGTTTAGGAGAAATCATTTCCCCAAGTAAAATTCAAATTTTAGAGACTGGAAAGGGAAAGCAGCAGATACCAACTATAAGAACATATAAAGAAATATGTTACTCCAAATTTTCATTTAGAGAAAACAACTGATAAAAGGTGTGACATAAATCAGTAAGGTTGTTGAGTTTGACCAGTACAAAGAACTCATCCTGATTTAGATACTGAACTCAGCTTGTTGTCACTCCAATTTTACTTTACTGCCAAAACCATGAACAAGGAAGCATGAAACATACATCACTTAAGGAATGGGATGAGAGAAATCAGCTTCCCATAGCTAACAGGTTTCTCACGGGGGGGTGCTGGCTTTGCGTGGTTAGCGTTCTGGAGTGCAGGAGCCTGGGCCTTTCAGTTCCTGTCTTCTGTAAGATACACCTGATGAAGGGCACGGATTCTGCTCAACAGCCCACTCACTAATACCTAGGGAACGTCCTCTGGTACCATGATTAGATGTTCTGAATTCCCTTTCTTACCGATTCCTTGGGACACTTGTGTCTTACAAGTGGGATGAATCATGAGAAGACACCTAAGGACAAGGGAGCCTAATGTATGTTCAGAATTATTGAATGGCTAAATGAATAAATGAGTAAGTTTTCACAAAAAAAGGACACATCTGAAAGAAACATTTTCAAGAAAAGTAGCCCATTTAACTATAGAAATTTAATTATCCTAAGTACTTTATCAATAGTAACACCATTGATTATTAAAACAGCAAATACTATTAACATGTGGCATATTTTTATATAATTTTAGAACTATAAGAATTCATGTTAAAATTAGAGTGAATACATTTAGGTGACTGTTTTATTACACCTAGAAAATTACTTTATAAAATTTACCCTAATGTTTAAAAAAATTAAAATATTTTACTTACACTCAGATCTCTTTATGTACTCAACAGATGTGAGCTCAATTGGTAATGTTTCACTTCATGAAATCCTTATAAATAAACTTTAATCCCATAGGGCAGATCAATTAATTATGCTTTCAGGGGAGGTATAATGAATGGATCTGTATTGTAGAATTATGGCATTCAGTTGATGTTAATGATGGAAACTCACTTTACCAAACACCTTAAGAGTACCCAGATAAACATCATTTTATATGGCTGAAGCTTTCTTCATTTTCCCAAGTGGAACATAAAAGCATGCAAAAAAAAAAAGAAATTAACATCAGCTTTTCCATGAGATCTTTATAGAAGATTAAAAATTCTTTGGTAGAGAGGTTATGTATGTATAAATATGTACATATTTATATGTACCCCAAATAAACTGTCAAAGTTTATTTTGTGGAAGTTACAAAAGCCCTGATGAAAGCTTAGAAGCTATCAGTAAAATGACAGGCAGGTATTATAATCCTAAAAAAAACCCTGGTGATATTGCTGTAAATGGTATTTTAAAATAGTCTTTTTATAATATTTAAAATAGTTTCAGATTTATAGAACAGTTGCTGAGGTAATACAGAGAACTCTTGTACACCCCTCACCCAGCTTCTGTTGTAACTGTCCTACCTCAGCAGAGGAAATTTGTCACGACTAAGGACCAGTACTGGTACATGGATATTAACTAAACTCAGCGACTTATTTTGATATCACCAGTACCCCCTATGTCCTTTTTGCTATTCCAGGATTTTATCCAAGATTACATATTATATTTAGTCACCATGTCACCTTAGAAATATAATCTCTCATACTTTTCAGATTTTCCATGTTTTTGATAAATTTGGCTTTGGTCAGTTTTTTTTTTTTTTTTTTTTGCAAAAGCATTCTAATTTGGGTTTGTCCAATATTTTTCTCATGATTAGACTAAGTTAATTGATTTTTGGTAGGAAGACCACAGGAGGGAATTACCTTTCACATGACACTATATCTTGCCATCTATGTGATCATTTGTTTGCAGTGGTGTTGGCCAGATTTCTTCACAGTGAAGTTACTTCTCCCTCCTTTCCATACACTGCTCTTTGGAAAAAGGCCAATAAACACAGCCTAGGGATGGGGTAGGATGTGAAATTCCATTTCCTGAAGAGGGGGAGTGCCTACATAAATTATTTGGAATGCTCTGTAAGAGAGATTTATCTCCTTTTCCCAATTATTTATTTTGTCATTTATTTATGTATGAATTCATGACTTTTTTGTTTTATACTTTCAGTATACTTTGATACTGTGTTAGTCATTTTGTTGCTCAAAGTGTTTCATCTTTGGCAGTTGCAAACTCTTTCAAATTTGCTCCTTTGTCTCTTTGGCATGTTTTATCCTTTTATCTTTTGAGCACTTCCTCATTTTCTGGCGTAGCAAGATGCTTCAGGATCAGATGAATCTCAAAATCATTTTGCTGAGTGAAAGAAGCTGGACCCAAAATAACTTGTACATTTTTGTTTATGTGAAATGCTGGAAGGCAAAACTAACTTACAGTGATACAGCATATCAGTGTTCAGTGTTGCCTGTTGAATAAGGGAACATTGTGGGGTGATGAATACCACTGTTTTGTGTATACCTCATATATTTATATATAAACACATACATATATACATACATATATATATATATATATATATATCTCATACATACATATGAGAAAATCATTGTTTCTCCACTACATCATGTAGTCAAATAGAAACAGCAATTCAGAATATTTCATGATTTTGATTTTTAAAAATGGCCAAAAAACTTTGAAAACATTTAGAAATTAGAGTCAATATCTCACCTCAGATATCTGATACATGTACTTTCCAGCTTCCTGTCATAAGTTCTGGTTCAATTTTACCTGACCTCCTTTAGATGTTTTAACTCAATGTGTATTCTCATGTCAACTTCTAAAGTAGGTTCATGTTATGTAAAAATTATGTTGAGTGTCTTGATTCATGTAGTTACCATTGTTTCTATACTAAACAGTCAGAAGTAATCTCACTTTAATGGATATTTTCAATGGGTCCAGTTATTGTATACATCAATTAATAAAAGTGAAAATAAGTTTTGAATCGAGAGTCTAAGCATTTGTAGAAGTTGCAGCATCCCTCCATTGAATGTGTTCTTTTGTTGGAACTGAAGTCAGCCAGACTTGTCGACTTGTTCCCTTATCTCCGTCAGGGTTAATTCTTACTTTTGTTTTAATCTTTACTGCAAAATCTCTTGTATTTATGTGCATCCACATCTGGAAAATAAGCTGAAAATGTAGGTGTAAATTATGTTCAATGTCGTTTTGCTTATCCACATAAATAGAAAATTTCTCTGAGAAAATAAGCTAAGTATATAGTAAAATAAATTACGTTGCTACCCACTATTAAAATCATTTTCTTGCATTAAGGAAAAAATAACGACAAGCTTCTTTTTTCAAGCCATTCTCTTATTTAAGAAGTTTTAAGTGACTGCATTTTCAAAGGAGTAGAAGAACAGCATTAGTAGCTTTTCTATAATGCTATTATATTTGTGTAGACATTTTGTCCTTAAAATGATTATTTAGCAGAATATAGTAAAAAAGGTTATAAAATGTCAGGTTCTACGAATATGGCAATCTTAGTAACTTAATATTTCATCTTACGATGGTGTAGTAATAGCAGACATACTTTTCATAATGAATAAAATGGGGTACAATAATTTAACTCTCCATAAAAGAAGGAAAAACTATTAATTCCTGTTTGAAAAATCAGTTTGAAAGGCATGGAAATAGCAACAGTTGAATCATTACAGATATAGCATTATTTTAAAAGAAAAGGTGAGAAAATATAATACTAAATACTACCTTAACACAAAAGAGGATCATTGTATTTAATAAAATGTATTTGCAGTCTACAGGGTGATAATTTGAGTAATATCTCAGATTACTTATTTCCAAGTGATTCACTATGTAATAATAATTTGAATTTTTCTACATCCATATTTTATTTATTTTTAAATTTTAATACTAAGGATCATATTCTCAATTAGGAGTAATAAAGGTAACTCCAAAAAGTGTTGCTTCATTCCAGTTTGCTTTCCTTGCAGAGTGCAGATATGAGCCCAGCAAGCAGCACCGCTTCCCTTCCTGTTAGTCCTCTTGCGGAAGAGCCGTTGCCTTTCAAGGTAAAAGATACAGACAAACAAAATCAATTGTCTATAATATTTTAGGATAGTTAATTAATATTAGTAAAATAGTTAACAAATATGGTAAAAGAGAGCTTTTATGCGTAGATGATATAGGGAACTGCTTTAATCTGTAATAATCCTATATCAAATGTAAAAATATTTGTTTTGTTTTATTGTCATTCTAGTTGCTAAATAAAGGTAAAGGTTTGGAATATAAATTAATACTTTATGGAATACTTTGTTTGCTTGTCATGTAAAATATAGTGATTTCACTGTAATAGTTTGATGTCACATGAATTTGAAGTTTCAAATGTTTTATTTGTAGGAATTTTAAGCAATGAACTTAAAATGAATGTTCAGCCCTCATAGCTAGTTAAAATTTTATTGATGACTACTTCCTAATTATCTAATCTTTACAAAATAATAAACTTAAGAATTGAAATATACAACTATTCCTCTAAAACATTATATTTTTAAAGTATTTAAGTAAATATGCAAATAAGTAAGTAGCACGCAAATGCTACTTATTTATGCAAAATATGCAAATAAGTAGCATGATCAGTAGAATTCTTCAGTTTGGAAGTCTTTACACATTACAAATATATTGTCATGTTTTTGTTTCTTATTTAAGATTAGATTTTTCTCTTTATGCCAAAGCTTTGTAGATCAGCTACTTTATATTTGTGCCAGGGATATTTGGGTTTCATTAGAACTATTATAAACAAAGGCACTCCTTTTAAGATCATGAGGATATAAAGAAAAACTTGGAAAGTTGAGATGATACACTTAGTGCAAGAATTTTCATTTAGTTTGCTTTCAAGACAGGGAAATGTACATTTTGGGGTTCATTATGACTTTACTATAAAATTATTTTTTTCTCCTTGTATGAAGATTATGTCTTAACTTCACACTGCTTACACCTAGTACAGTGGCTGGTGTGAATATTTGCTGTGTTGTTAAAGTAAATATAACAGAAGGCTATGAATTCAATTGTGTATCTTTCTTGCTTAATGATAATAACAACTATTAAAAGCTTATTTTAGATCATAAAATTGTGAAATACTGAATAGTATTCTAATTGTATTATTTATTAAGAAGTATTTCTTTATCTACAAGAAAAGGAGAACTATTAAAGCTTAGTGTTACTTAGTTACTTAGTGTTATTTAGTGTTTCAAAGCTTAATGTTGTTGTATGGGATAAAATTTACAGAAGTTCCCATTGATTCTCAAAACATCACCATAAGCCATTTTCTCTTTTTAATATATTGACAATGCCTGCACTTCTTGAAACTTAATGTATTTTCTAACAGAGGTAAAATAAAAGGTGAGATATAGTTTAATATGAGCTGACATAAAGCTAATTTAAACGTAACTATTTTAATTAGTTTCCCCTGTTGGTTCTAAGAGATCAATAATGTTCCTGCATTAATGTGTGTGAGGGGTTTTTCTCATCAATTGAAACTTCCAAGTGATTGTAATATATAATATTGGCTTTTGATAGCCAATATAGTTATAGCACCTCTCAATTTGCTGCTTTGTGAAAGGAATGATATTTATATTTTTTCAAAAAAATTTATCATATATAAAAATATCTCATTAGTATTTAAAATTAAAGTTCAAAATTACAAAATAAAACTCCTGCATTTGCTTCTTTAATTTTTATATTATAAATTGTTATTATGTAAATGGTAATTGAATATTTATTTATTTTTATGAAAACACAAAATATATAGCAACTCTTTTGAGATACACCTTAGTCAAATAGGGAATAATAATTGTAAAAATATGTTGAATACTATTTAACTCATAAAAGACAAGGGTTTTCTTATAACCATAGCATGAAAAATCCTGATATTATCACTTATTTGCATCTAAAACTCTGTTTTAAATTATATGTGACTAAAAATAATTTTTTCTCATTCCCCACGAATAGGGCATGGTCTTTCAAATTAATATAAAACTGACCCTCTCTAACCCCTCAGCTTCCTTTTCTAGGATGTGACACCAGCGTCACGCTCTGTAACCAACTGCTCTAATATGGCCGCTGAAGGTTGAGCTTTGATGGTTGATTAAGGGAATTGATTTTTCTTTTCTCCTGAGTTGTAATTAAGTCACTAAAAGAAATGTATTCGATTCTTTTTCTTGATCTATTTTGGAAGTACTCATGCAACAGTTGGAGGAAAATGTCTTGTTTTGGTTCAAGTGTTTTTCAAAATGAATGCATTTCTTTAATTATCATCTATAGAATTGTATTCAGATTAAACTGATTTTAAACATAATACTTCATATATGATATATGTGTGTATACATATACATCCTAATAATTACTACTTACCTTCCCACTAATATATCTATCTTTATTCTTGACCTGAATGTTAGATGAGAAATTGGCAAACAATAGGCCAACAGTACCATGGTAGGATCTATTAAATTAAATGGGGAAGAAAACCAGGAGAGAATCTCCCAAAGAGTCCAGGCTGGTAGGTGAAGCAAGACAATTCAGTCTTGTTTGGGACCAAATGCTTCTTTTTCACAATAAGGTAGTATTTTTCAACATTATTAACATTCTTCAAGTTAATTTTTAAACAAAACAAGATCTTCACTGAAAGATAATTCAGGCCCCATATGTTTACTTCTCTGTTTTCTCCACAGAGCATTTAACCTCCTATTAAACTTCTTAAGCTTTCACCTACCATTCAGAACCTATTGCTATAGTGTTTTGTATCACTTAGCTAGTATTTCAAAAATGAGGATGTTTTCTACAGATATCTATCCAGTCTTAAACAATTGTTCGGAACTGTGAGTGACCAAAAGTAAGTAGAGCTGGGCAGGCGAATGCCACTTTACCACAGTTACCACCACTCCCTGTTATGCTCCTGTTGGGCCACAGAAGCTGTTGAGTATATCCTTTCAGAGAAGAAGATATATAATGCATGAGTTTCTACATTTACTGCAAGTAATATAATTTCACAGATTTCCTAGTCACACTCTTGATGCTGAGAAGTTTTTAGGATTCCAATTTCATATATTTGTGCAGACTATTGTTACGGACATACTTTTAGAGACAGAAGGCAAATGTATAACCTCTATTTTTTCAAGATCATATTTACTTATTTTTAGAGAGAGGGGAAAAGAAGGAGAAGGAGAGAAACATCAATCAATGTCCAAGAGAAACATTGATCAGTTGCCTCTTGCATGCACCCCAACCAGAAACCCTGCCTGCAACCCAGGCATGTGCCCTGACAGAAATCAAACGGGTGACCTTTTGCTTTGTAGGACCACACTCAGCCAACTGAGCCACTCCCATCAGGGCTAACCTCCTTTTTTAAATACAATATTTAGCATTACCTAGTCTCTATACATAACTGTCTGTCATATGCCGCTACATCATTATGGAAGGGCCAAGGGATAGCTAATTTTGCCTGGGTGGGAATGATACATTATCAAATAAACATAATAGAATGATAAAAGTTCACAATCATTTATTTAAGGCTTTGATTTGAGGAAAGAGAGAGTACAACTGCTTCATCATTAATTACAATTTTTATGTTTTTCTGTAAAATAACAATGAACCAAGTTGACATTGTTAAATTTGGTTTCTCCACTTTACTGTATTCTACATTTTTCTCTCTGTCATTTCCCCTGATTTATCTTTTTTCTTTTAATGAATTAATTTATTTTTATTGATTATGCCATTACGGTTGTTCTATTCCCCCCCTTCATTCCCCTCCACCCTACCCCCCTCGTTCCCACCATTACCCTCCCCTTAGTTTATGTCCATGTGTCTCAAGTTCTTTAGATTCAATATTTCCCTTACTATTCTTGCCCCCCCATCTATTTTCTATCTACCATTTATGCTGCTTATTTTCTGTACCTTCTCCCCCCTTCTCCTCCTCTCACTCCCCTGTTGCTAACCCTCCTTAAGATCTTCATTTCTATATTTCCATTCCTGATCTAGCTGTCCTTTTAGTTTGCTTTCATTTCAGGTGTGGTTGTTAATAACTGTGAGTTTGCTGTCCTTTCGCTGTTCATATTTTTTAACTTCTTTTTCTTAGATAAGTTCCTTTAACATTTCATATAATAAGGGCTTGGTGATGATGAATTCCTTGAATTTGATCTTATCTGAGAAGCACTTTATCTGTCCTTCCATTCTAAATGAAAGTTTTGCTGGATAGAGTAATCTGGGTTGTAGATCTTTGGATTTCATGACTTGGAATACCTCTTTCCAGCCCCTTCTTGCCTCTAAGGTCTCTTTGGAGAAATCTGCTGACAGTCTGATGGGAACTCCTTTGTAGGTGACTGTGCCCTTATCTCTTGCTGCTTCTAGAATTCTCTCCTTCATTTGAATCTTGGCTAATGTAATGATGATGTGCCTTGGTGTGTTCCTTCTTGGGTCCAACTTCTTTGGGACTCTCTGAGCTTCCTGGATTTCCTGGAAGTCTATTGCCTTTGCCAGATTGGGGAAATTCTCCTTTATTATTTGTTCGAATAAGTTTTCCACTGGTGGCTATTCCTTTCCCCCTTCTGGTACCCCTATAATTCGGATGTTGGAGCGTTTAAAGATGTCCTGGAGGTTCCTAAGTCTCTCCTCATTTTTTTGAATTCTTGCTTCTTCACTCTTTTCTGTTTGGCCATTATTTGCTTTCTTCTGGTCCACTCCATTGATTTGGGTCCCAGTTTCCTTTTCATCGTTATTGGTTTCCTGTGCAATTCCATTCATTTCAATTAGTTTCGCCTTCATATGTTCCTTTAATTTGTGGCTATAATCAACCAGATCTGTGAGCATCCTGATCACCAGTGTTTTAAACTGTGCGTCTGAGAGTTTTGCTATTTCTTCATTGCTTAGATTTATAGGCTCTGGGGCTTTGAGATCTTCTTGAGCCATTTTTGGTCTGTTTGCACCCGTTAAGTATGAGGAGCGGAGCCTTGGACTCCCCGGTCACTGGGTTGTGACTCTGTATGTGGGGGCGTGGTCAGAGCGGGGGAAATGGGGGCGC